TATATATATATAAAACTTACCTAAATCATTTACTAAAGCCTAGAACAAATATGCCTTCGTGCACCCTCAAGCCGCAACAAGTTCCTCTTGACCGACTCAACCTTCAACCCACCGCCTTTGTTGTAGCCACCACCATCGTAGCCACACCCGGGACTCATATATATATATATATAAAACTTACCTAAATCATTTACTAAAGCCTAGAACAAATATGCCTACGTGCACCCTCAAGCCGCAACAAGTTCCTCTTGACCGACTCAACCTTCAACCCACCGCCTTTGTTGTAGCCACCACCATCGTAGCCACACCCGGGAATCACTTGAAAGCCGCACATCACCATCACTTCCTCCTCTAAAAATTATAGAGTATTATTCTCATCTTTATGTTGATGACAAATGTTTATGAAAGAGAAATATTATTAACATAAATGAAGAAGAAACAAATTAAATGATTCAACGCTTTATGACCGGGGCCCTTTGAACTGGGTGATTTGCCACCGAATGAAATCACTAAATTATGGTTATGGCAGAGCCCGTATACTCCCCAATGACACTAAATCCTTGAGATATGAATCAATAGAGTATAATCGATAGGGCACGAAACCCTCTGTCAGCTAAGGTGGATTCAAATTTATCCCCCTTTGATAAACATCCACCTCAGGTCTACAAGGTATCCTTGGACGACGCAACCCAAGTCTGCCGACAAGGATCCTTCTGTCAGGTTAAGTCGACTACCTCCTCTGACTAAGTAGACCAGGGATCATGATGACCCGGGACGACGGAATGATGAGATCTTGATCGGGTCCATCATTCATTCCCTCACCATCTGCTTTAAGTGCAATATGGTAAAATTCAAAATTTTCAAATATCAATCAATGCCACTACTATATGTCATATACATGTATCTCTACGTATCTGATTGACGACTAGCCTTAATCGAAAGTTTTCTCTCGTCATCGGAAGGGGTAATTAACTATAAGGGCTTGCACCTATAGGAAACAAGAATTCAAATCATAAAGTCTTCGCAAAATGAGGGCAAAATCTCTGGGAAGTGTCTTTTTTCAAACCCAATCTGCCTTCTGAAAATTTACCCCGGAGCCTAATTCATTAAAACTCCCCTCAAAAGAGGGGAGGCTGGGTCGCGAATTTTTTTAGCCCACATACTTCTTGAAATTTCTTATCATATTATGATTTTCCTACAAAATCTTAAATTAATTTGAACAAGATTTTTAACTTAAGCATTTTGTTATCTGCTATCCTATTGTGATGGACGGTATTTAATTATTTATTCAATAAGTTGGAAACGATTGTCCTAGTTTGTTGAGTGCTAAACCAACTCGGAATTCAGATATTTAATTTGCATGATGGCAGTTGCATTCTTTCTAATAATATTGACTGAGCTGGAAAGTGATTGTCTTCGAATTGCAGGAGCTCATGACAAGGCATAAATCAACAGTAGCTGAATTCCTTTCTAAAAATTATGATTGGGTATGCCACCCTCCTTTGCATCAGTAACATTCTGTTTGTGTTTTATATTTCTTTCAATATGCACTATAAATTTTTTCCTTGATGTCTTCTCTTCTGAAAAATTTTTGGTGCTTATTTCAGTGTTTAGAGCCGATCTTTGGTTAATTTTTGTTTATTTCTACAGCGGACATGGATATGTTCACTTTGCAGTTGTTCATACCTGTTTTTCCTTCTCTAGAAAGATTTTTGTAGTTGCTTTATTCTCTCAGAATGGCATTCTTTTCTTAAGAATTAAATTATGAGTTGTGAACATATCCATACGTTCTTATTTCCTTAAAAATGTGTGCCCAATATTAGTGTCAGCTACTTAACTTGCACTTAGATGTAATAAACTATGAACTTCACAAAAAAAAAAAAAAAAGAGAGAGTGGAGGGTTTACATATATACCACTGGATTCTCTTATATATGCATCTTTAACCTCTGAGTCTTTATATTTAGTTATTATATAACACTCTATTGTCTAAATGACTTGAAAACTTATGCATGTAATTATCTATTTCACTCTAAAAAAATATTATTAGTGATATTTTTTATGTCATTTAGAGATTAGAATACTATATAAATATTTAGGTGTTGTATAAATAGATAAGTTATGTAATTACCCCCCAAAAATGAAAAAATTATTGAGATTGTTACAAGCTTCATATCTCCGCTGTTTGATTTAGTCAATTACTTTGATTTATAATCTTCTTTCAACCACTTTCTGTTATTTAAGTTTTTTGCAGAGTTTAATGAGAAGCTGCTGTCATCTTCCAACTATGTTACAGCAAGACAAGCTATCAAGGTGGTGCTTATCTCTTACATTTGCATTTATAATGCTTATTGATAGATTTTAAGTATTTTTTATCCTTCTTTGGCTGTGAAATTTAACTACAGCATCGTATGTGGTTTCAGCTTTTGGGAGAGATGTTGCTTGATCGATCAAATTCTGGTGTTATGACGAGATATGTGAGCTCAAAGGATAACTTGATAGTTCCGATGAATCTTCTAAGAGTATGATTCCCTATGTTATCTCATTATAAGAATCTGGACATTTGCCAAAGTAAAAAATATTGCAATTAGATATTTTTAATTCCTTCAAAATTTGAATTTTTTTGTCACAAGAGTGCTGTATGATATGCGATGTTATCTTCTTTCTTTTAGAGTCTAGACATGATTATCTTTGGGATTTTATTAATAATTCTTCTGTTGCTTCCTACCTGCTTCTGAACTGCATTATGAATGCACTTATCTTCAACAGTCTAAGGCTTCATTTGGGACGACTTTATTACTGCTTCTTAAAGCAGTGTTTTAGAACAAAAATTAAATTTTTTGTACTTGAAAGCTGCCTTATAAAACAATAAGAAAGCCGTCTCAAACGAAGCATTTGTTTGGGACGGCTTTCTTCCTACTTCTTATAGCAGCTTTCGAGTACAAAAATTAATTTTTTCAACTAGAAAACCGCTTTTAAAAGCAGTAAGAAAGCCGTCCCAAACAAAACAAGTCTAAATTTGGACATGGTTTTCATAATTTTCTTTAGTTGTGTATTGTTGAGTGTCATTTTAGTCATATTTCTTCTATTTTTCTGAATTTTTTTTTTTAATTTTTTTCAAACTTTCATTCATTTTCCCTTTTCATCTTATGTTTCTTAAATTTTTTTTTTTGTATTTTTTATCCCTCCCCCTAATCATTTATGATAAAACTGCATCCTTATTGTTTTCTGTTCCCTCTGTTCCTAAACTTTACCACTGTAACTATGCATTGGTATGAACTATATCTTATTGTCAGTTTTGGTACTTGCATGTAATTTCCTCTTCGATAGCACTCCATTCCATATTGCCATCAATTGCTATGATGGGTCGTTGGATCTAAAATATTTATTTAACTTGGAAATACTATTTATTGATTTCTTTCCCTCCATCCATCGCCATCCATGGAATTAATCGTGCTGTTACTTCTGGTGATTTTCTTTTCTTTTCTATATTTTTATCATTGAAAACTCATCATTTAACCATTTTTATGTATGTGGATGAAATATCCGTTCTTTGATGTTGAATATTTATGCTTCTTAGAAATGAATATTTGTTTGAAATAATACTTCTGATATAGGATTCGTTTGGGATCTTTCTGCTTCTTAAAACAGTTTTCTAGCACAATAATTAAAATTTGTATACTAAAAAGCTGTTTTAAGCAGCAGTAAGAAAGCCGTCCCAAATGCAACTATAATTTTCAAAAAATTGGGCTGACTTCAGAACTATCATTTTATTCACAAATTTTCTCACCAGAATTTAACACGCATTGTCTCAAACTGATGAATTTATTTCTATCCTCAGGATAAAAGCAGAAGCATCCAAATAGAAGCATTTCACGTTTTCAAGGTACTTTTGACTCAGGCTTCGTTTGCAACAGCTTTTTTTACTGTTTTTTAAAGCAATTTTTTAATACAAAAACTTTAATTTTTATACTAAAAAATTGTTTTAAGAAACAATAAGAAAGCCGTCCCAAACGAAACCTCAAATTCTGTTTGATTAGAACTATATATTTTTACCATTTCTCTTACATGGATTGTTCCTCCTACCTTAACAGTTATTCGCTGCAAATGAAAACAAGCCATCAGAGATTGGAACAATTCTTATGACAAACAAAAGTAAAATTCTTCGACTCTTGGGTGCATTAAAGTTAGAGAAAGGTAAGTTCAAATGCATAAATTTTTTATTATTTTGAACACTTCTGACTTATCTTTGTGCTTCTTTTTGAATAATATTGCTTCTCTTGCTGCAGAAGATGAACAATTTGAAGCAGATAAGACTGAGGTTATCAAACTGATAGCAGCACTGTCACTGTAACTGTAACCGTAAGTTCTACCAACTCTTGTGATGTGGGGAGATCATTGAAGAAACAATGAGCAACAAGAGCTAAACAGCTCGAAGAGATCAAAAAAGTAAAAACTGTTGGAATTCCAAAAAAATATATTTCATTCATCTTTTTCTACCTATAGAAGATATTTATAACAGTATAATAGAAATGTCTAGAAAGTTCTAGAAATAGGTACTAAATTTGATAAATTATTCTTAAGCCTTGATTTAACTAATATGATCCGCATCATCTTGCATGATTTTTACATTATATGAATAGAAATTCTTTGTGATATCTTCCTTGTTAGTTCCAGCTTTCCAATGTTGAACTACCATGAATGATTTGATTAGTTGAACAAAAGTTGTGGATAGAAAATATGAAAACATGAGAAAATAAAAATGTAAAAATATTGAGCAGGATGAATTTTTAAGAATTCTTCAAAAAAAAAAAAAAATTTTTTGGTATATATATTTTTTATTTTTACATTAAGGCTTCGTTTGGGACGGCTTTTTTATTGTTTTTTTAAGCAGATTTTTAGTCTAAAAATTCTTAGATAAAAATAGCTAAAAAATTTTGTACTAAAAGTTGTTTTAAAAAGCAATAAGAAAGCTATCACAAACAAAACTTAAGTATATTTATTAGGAATAACGATTTAGTATTTAAGACTTATATGTCAAAAGGTGCTATCAACAATGAGCTATAACAGCAGAAAAAGTAGTCTTACTAAGGCTTCTTTTGGGTCAAATTTTTTACTATTTTATGAAGCAGCTTTTAGTTAATTTTTTTTTAATTACTAAAAAATTAGTTTATAAAGTAGTAAATAAGTCGGCCCAAACGAATCCTAAGTTGAAGGCTTTATTTGGAATAGCTTTTTTGATCATTATTTTTTTTTATTTAAAATATTTCTATATTAAAAAAATATTTTAAAAAACAGCAAAAAAATTATTTCAAATAAAGTCTAAATAAGTTCTTTAATTATCCCATCAAGAGAAGAAATACCATCCAAGAGTAAAATATGTTTAAAAAAAAAACAATTGATAAGCTGATAATTATATCCTTAATGATCACTGATATTTTACTATGCTATTTATCATATTTATTTTCTTTTGAGTATATCTACTAATCTATATGCATTTTTTTTTAATTATCGAAACTTTATAGTAAAAAACTTTAAAAAAATAATTTGAAAATTCTAATTTTTATATATCATGCAAATTGAATGAATCTCTTAACATTTTATATGGTAGATATTTACTTGTATTTAATGATTTTGTATGTCCATTTCTTGTATTATACATTTATACTGCTTTGAAATATATTTCCACCAAAAACAAAAGCACTAAGCAAAAATCATCACTTGTTTGCTAACAAAATGGAGATATTTTATGAGAAAATTAAGGTAAGAAGAGAGTTTATGTTTGATTTGAAGGAAATGGATGAAATTCAAATTTCATAATTTTATATTTGATATAATAGATAATTAATTTTATTTTAAAAAAACATTGTAACATGTATAATTCACAATCAATTCATTAATTAATTTTATTTAAAAATGAATAAATGTATTTTCTCATATCCTTTTCTAACAAAAAAAAAATAATAGTTTGTCATTAATTATTTATGAATACTCAGATAGGTCTTAACTTGTTTAAAGAAGATAGATGACAGGAGGGTTGAGCCATCGACCATTTTTATTTTCTTATTCAAGGTTGATTCCCTAATTATTAGATTAGATATTGCACACACACGAGAGATTATTACATATGGAGTCCGGACACAGAGAATCATTCGGGTTTATGACTGTGAACAATAAAAGTGCTTTTACTGTTCACAATCACAAAATCGAACGATTCTCTATGTCTGAATTCCGCATGTATTAATCTCTTCACACACATAAGAAGTGAATTCTAATAATTATACAGCTCTCATTGGCCTATTGGTTGAGAGCTAAGGCTTCCAACTAAGGAACTTTTATTAGGTCCGGTGTAAGGACGTAGAGGAACGTCCGATCAGAGGTAAAATCCCGCCAAAAAACTCGGTATTTGCTTGGTATTGTTAGGTATTATTTGATAATAATGAGGAATACCGCTCTGTGAAGACCAATACCAAGTTATACCGAGCTATACCGAGAAATACCGAGTTGTACCGAGGTTTTTTAGGAAAAACTCAGTACAACTTTTGTATAACTCGATATTGCTCGGTATAACTCGGTATTGGGTCTTCACGTGATGGTATTCCTCGTTATTGTTTGGTATTGCTCGGTATTTGCTCGGTATTTCTCATTTTTTGACGTGATTTGGCCTCCGACTGGACGTTCCTCTACGGGAACGTCCAGTCGGAGGACGTAATAATTGTCCCCAACTAAGAGGTTTACGATTCGAGTCTATGTGTATGTGTTGTGTGTGTAAGTTTATCTTAAATGACCTAAATGTCCAAAAAAAAAATCTAATAATTAGATGCTTAAGTTTTATATCATAATAGCAGGGGCAGATCCAGCTTCTTTTTTCAGCGTGTATTTTCTCATATCCTATTCTAAATATAATTGTACAATAAATCTTCCGATATCCAACCTATTGAGGAGATCAAGAACTAATTGGTGCATCGTAAAATATGAGTGACCATTCAATTAATTTAAAATAAATCAAGATTAAATTAAATTTTGGCAATAATATTTATAATTTTTTGAAATATCATTTACTTATTTCATAAAAATTCATTAAAATCCTCCTAAATTAATTAAAAACGGGTTAAACCGGGTTGATTTCGGATTTTCGGGTCAATCTGAACCAGACCTGATTTTACAAACAAGTCAAAATCCCTAACCCGAACGTTGACCCGAACCAATTCAGATCGAGTTTTAATCAGGTCAAATATTGACACTCCTATACATGATATATCCATTATATGTTAGAGCCCAATCCCAAAAACTTACAAATGAAGGCAAAAGCATTCAATTTCTTAAGTTTAAAGCCAAGTAAAAAAAAATTCCCCTCACATCATATATTTAATAACTTCATCCACACTACTGATCTCCACTACACTCCCACCACAATGCTTCTTGTCTTCCTCCTACTGGCTTCCTCCACAGCCGCCTCCGCGTCCGGCCATTGCTCGCCGGGAACAACCACAAAACCCTACGTGAAATGCCTGACTCTCCCAACCCAAGACGCCTCCATCGCCTGGACCTACCACCCCCACAACGCCAGCGTCGATCTCTCCTTCACCGGCACCTTCATATCCCCTTCCGGATGGGTCGCCATCGGCATCAACCCTGAAAGCCTCTCCATGTCCGGCACCCGCGCACTAATTTCCTTCGCCGATCCCACCTCTGCCTCCCTCCTCGTCCTCCCCTTCCTCCTCGACTCCTCCGTCAAACTCCAACGCTCCCCGCTCCTTTCCCATGCCCTCGACATCCCTTTCCTCTCTTCCTCTGCCTCCCTCCTCCACTCTGCCTCCGTCCGCACCACCGCTGTTATCCGCATCTCCGCCTCCCTCCGCCTTTCTCCCAATCGCACCCGCATTAATCTCATCTGGAACCGCGGACTCTACGTTCAAGGCTATTCCCCAACCATCCACCCCACCACCCCCACCGATCTCGCCTCCCGCGCCACCATCGACCTACTCTCCTCCTCCGCAGACATCTCATCAACCCTCCCAACCTGGTTCCGATCGGCACATGGTTCAATCAATGCAATAACATGGGGGTTCTTCATCCCGGCGGGGGCGATGGCGGCCCGGTACCTGAGGCAATGGCCGGGAATGGGGCCGGCTTGGTTCTACGTCCACGCCGCGGTTCAGATGACGGCGGTGGTGATCGGAGCGGTGGGATTCGGGTTAGGGATTGCGATGGGGAATGGGGTTTATACTCTGCATAAGGGATTAGGGATTGCGGTGATGACGGCTGGAGGTTTGCAGGCGGCGGCGATGTTTTTCCGTCCGGCGGAGACCCACAGGTGCCGGAAGTATTGGAAATCGTATCACCATTTGGTCGGGTATGGATTGGTGGTGATTGGAGTGGTGAATGTGTTTCAGGGAATGGAGGTGATGGGATTAGGGCGATCATATGCGAAGTTGGTTTATTGTTTGGCGTTGGCGACGATGGCCGGGGCTTGTGTGGCGCTAGAGGTGAATGGGTGGGTGATTTTTTGCCGGAAGGCGGAGGAGGAGAAGCTTAGAAGAGAGGAAGCAGGTGAGAGACGGCGGTTTACCGGAGATAATTGCGATGCACGCGGCGGAGGGTACATTGCCAAGGGATCAAGGATTGTTTGAGGGAGAATTTTTTATTAAAAAAAATATTTAGATATATAGCATTCAAAATAAAAGAATTTAATATAATTCTTCAGCAATAAAATTAACAATAATTAAGCTGTCGATTAATAATTTTTTAAAACTATGATTAAATTTGCTCAATTTTTAAATAAAAAATTAATTAGTTATATTTTTAATACTTCTCTCTCTAAGCTTTTTGATAGGATAATACGTTTAAAACTATTTGATTTTTAATTTCATATATTTGTATTATTTAATAATAATATAATGGATTTGAAGTGATAAGTATGAATTATTGCGTGGTAGAATATTCATGATAATTGTGAGGGTGTATAAAATTTTAACTTTGTATGAAATTCTAGCATCAATATTGATAAAATAGAGATTCATTGGAGTTACTTGAATTTTATATAAAATCTCAAAAATGGGAAAACAATCACGAGATATAGCCCAATTGAAATGATACATTGGACAAGTAAGATTACAGAAGTTTACTCTTCCTCTCAATTGAATGAGATGCGATTACGAAGTTGTCAATATTAGCTTGTTCTCTTCTTGGAGAATTAGTGGGGAGTGATGATGGTTTGGTGGCGGAAACTGAACAACTAAATTATAGTGGTCAAAAGATGGTGGTTAGGTTATGACGATCAAGCGATGATGATGATGATGATGGTTAGGCAATGTAAGTTAGGTGACAATGATCAAATGATGGCTCTCTAGCTCTGATTGGTGTATACAAGTGGTTGTTGGCAACAATCAATCAACATCAAGTGGAGTTGTAGAGTTCTTCAAAGTTCAAAGCTCCTTCCAACTTTAATTCAAAATCTAGGCTCTCAATCTCTTCCTACTATGTGATGAATAACGGGTCTATTTATAGTTTTTAATAGTAACATTTTGATAAATTTAAACCAAATTTTCATAAATTCAACAAACTTGTCTGTGTTGAGTACTTAGACTATATATCGTTCATTAAGCATTTATATGCCTAAATGGCATCAAAATTGACTAATCTTTGGCTAGTTGGATTTTCTCGTCGAGAAACTCAATTCAAATATTTGAATGCAATGCTCAAAGATCATTTGGTTCTCCTATTAATTTCAAGAAGTTGTCAACTACACTTCAAATGCTTGATTTGAGATCATTTGAAGTTAAATTGGATATTTTTTTTGTATTATATTTGATTTGTCTTATCGATACATTCATTTCACCTATGAGTTTCCTGAAATCAAAGTCTATATGATCCTAAATTTAAATCCAAAACTTTCTAATTCAAAGATTTAAACAGGAATTTGTATTTGATTGAAAGAATTTTTTGCTGACGTATTGTTTGCCCCCTATTTAAGGAGCAATGGGAGTTAGAAGGGTATTTTGATAGGGAACTGAGTTTATATTTTGCGCAAGGAATCGGAGATGATGGTAATGATAACAAGGGATTTGCAAGTGGAAGCACAATTTTTTTCAACCATTGACAATCCACAGGTCTCTGAAGTATTGGAAATCACATTTCCATTTTGTTGAGTAAGGCTTGGTGGTGATAAGAGTAGTGGAGTGTTAGGGCAATTGCATGCAAAGCTGGCTTATTTTTTGGCGATGGGGATGGTGGTTGGAGCTAGGGGTGTCAATATTTGACACGACATAAAAATCCAATTCAAACCCGACTCATAAATTTCGGGTTAGACCCAACCCGTTTCCAAAACGGGTCAGGTTCGGGTTGACCCGACTATCGGGTCAACTCGGAAACCCGTTTGAAATGACTGTCCGACTGCCCGGAGATCTGCTAGAGCCTGCCCGTCCCTTGTCCGGCTTCCCGTGGACCTCCCCGTGCCTGCCCACCCCCTACCCGCGCGCCTGCCTAAGCTACCCAGGCATGCCAGCACGCGACCGTGCTCCCGAGGCTACCTGCGCGCCCGCTGTGGCTGTCCCAACGCGTCTGTGCCTGTGCACCCGCCCGCGCTGCCGCGCCAGCCTGCTCGGGTCTGCGTCCGAATCCGAGCCCGCGTCTGCGTCCTAGTCAGATCCCGCGCCTGCGTCTGAGCCCGCCTTTCCGTGTCGAGTCGGGTCAACCCGGTAACCCACCAAGTCGAATCCGGGTCAGTTCTGGATTCGATCCGAACCCAACCCGTGACCTGAAATTGACACCCCTAGTTGGAGCATGTGTGGTGCTTGAGGTGAATTGTTTTTTGGCCGAAAGGCGGAGTCGGCGAAGGTTAGAATAGAGGAACGAATTAAGAGACAAATTTATGTACA